TCCTCCTCCCCCCTCCTCCTCCTCCTCCTCTCCCCCCCTTCTCCCCCTCCCCCTCTTGTCGTTGTTTGAAGAGAAAACACCTTTTTTTTTTATTAACGCTCCTCTTTTTTGATCAAAGCTGTCGTTGTTTTTTTTCCGATGAAGATGAGTATATGGATAGAGATGAAGATGAGTATAGGGATAAAATCGGAAATTCATGACTTAAAAATATACAGTAAACTACCTTTTTTTTCTTTTAGGTAGTTACCTAATTTCTCTTATATTTATGTATATTCACCTAATTGACTCTAAATTATTTGAATGTTTTACTTAATTATTTGATTTATTAAATCATTTGAAAAAAGTCGATAAAAATATCAAAAATATGAGACATAAATTTTATATTTTTTGTACACAAAATAAATTATTGTGTTGCTTGAAAACATAGATATTAATATAATATTGTGCTCATAGTTACTTTATAGGAGTGTAATTACTTTAAAATTACACAAAAGGTTGGGTCTAATGGAATGTTTATGTTTTAATAAGAGATATATTTTTAAATAGTAGCGATGAATATTATATTTTATGCTGTCTAGCTAATTTTAGAAAATAATAATCATTATATTGATTCACTTTTCGCATTATCTAAATCAGTTAATTTAAGAAAAAATGTATAAAGAAAAGAAAAGTACCAATGTTTTTAAAACCAAATCTATAAGAGGAAGATATAATCAAGGTTTTATTTATTGAATTTCAATTGTAATTCTGAGTATAAGTTTATTTTATTTACTTTTATAATAAAAATTACCAAACATTATAATGAAAAGTAATTACATTAAGTAAAAATAATCTCCATATTAATTAGACAAGCATGTTATTTCTAATGAGAATAACAAAAAATATTTTAAAGGAAAGTTAGCTAAACACTCTTAAGCATATTAAATTAATAGTTGACAAAAAAACTTGTAACTAATATATTTTCAATTGATTTTTGTATAAAATCTTGGAAAAAATATTTTGAGACAAAACACAATTTTAAAAGGGTGGAAAACAAAATTAAGCTTGCTTCTCATCTCTCGCTAGATCATAGTTAACAGAATGAGATAAATTATTGTTTCTAAATTTTGCCAGATCATAAATAATATAATATGAGTATTATTCAAGTGTCTATATTTGTAAATTCGGTATGGCTGTGACTGGATTGTCAATTTTTGAAATGGAATAATGTAGAATTATCTATTTCATTCATTCCACAGATCTTTTTTTTTAACCATTTGTAATGAATGGAATTCTTATTGAGGGTTTATTGTGGGAAAGTGTTGAAATCCTAATATGGAGTGCACAAGAGCAGGATAACCAAAGAACAGTGGCGGTCTAATTTTTCATGTTGCCCCAAGCCAAATTTAAAAATATGCCCTTATACATATTTTATCAAGATCATATAAATATTATAAAAAAAAAAAACTAAAACTTCCATCAGAAAAAATCATAAACTGTTTATAAAAAAACAAGTTAATTAGGGATAATTATTATTGAAATATAGCTATTCTTGCATTTTTTTTTCCTGCATAATCATTCTTTAAACTCATATAGTCAATTTTTTCAACCATAGCCATTTCAATTGATAACATAACCATTTAACCTCTCATATGACATGGTAGACCGAAAATCATTCTTTATCAGCTTCACTTTCGAGAAACTTTTTTCTGCTGTGGCGATCGATACCTGAATTGTTAACAATATCCGATTAGCAATTTATGTGTTTTGATTACAGTCTTCCATTTTTTTCAAAAGATAAGCACTTCGATAAGTTTCTGAACTTCCTCAAGTATTGATTCACAAAGAATCTTTAGCTCCATAAATAAACCATCACCAACTATGTTTGAATGCAATGGCAGAGCAACATGGAGTAAGAGGGGGCATCTGACCCCAACTCATTTTGAAAATTTCATATAAAACATTGACTATTTAAATATGCCCCCTGTTTTTAGAAAATATATCTTTAATTTTGTGAATTTAATTTCTATTTTAAATTATAGTTAAAAGTTTTTTTTTGGCTAAAAAAAAAATTGACTAGAGATTTTTAGAAAATATATCTTTAAACATTGACTATTTAATTATGCTCCTATAAAATGTTTTTCTAGTTCCGCCTCTGTTTGAATGCGTACCATTCTGTAAGTAACCTTCCAAATTCAAACATGATGCTTTCAAAATATCTTCACTTGCATCTGTTAGTTTTTTTAAATCAAACAAAGATCCAAAAAGGGTTTTAAACTTTTAACTATAATTTTTTTTGAAAAAATAAATTTTTTTTTTAGCCAAAAAAAAACTTTTAACTATAATTTAAAATAGAAACTTAGTTAATTATTATTCATATATATTTAACTTTAACAAATTTATAAATATTATTGAAAAGTCCAATAAAATTTATTCTAACTAATAATATCCAATTAGTAATATTTAGCATACAAACTTTGCATGTTTGTAAGTACTAACATTTTTTTTTGAAAAATATGTCTTTTTAATTTTGATGTTCTAGTCGGTGGTTTGGATGGCTTGTCTTTTGAACCGGCCAAAGAAGGGTGTTGTGATATTTAGGGGGAAGAGTATGTTTTAAAAGTCAAAACAATTTTCTAGATGATTAATCGATGGTGACTTTACTTCTTTTTGAGGCCACACAGAAATCGACCTAACAAAAATTCATTTTCCTGTAAGTTCTAAACCAACTTTGGAATTATTCTGAGATTTTATTATTCAAGAAGCACATGTGATCTGATCTCCTATCTAGAGACGTTGACAGGCTGAGTCGGCTCAATCCGGTTTTGACAGGGCTAAGTATATTAAGATTTGCCTAAAACAGACCTTAATTTCCTCTATAGGTATATGTGTTGTCTGGCCCCAATTGTGTAGAACAATAGTTTGTAAGATTAAAATAAAAGATGCATCAAAATAGATCGAACGTCATACAGATAAAAATGTCAAAACCAAAGTACCAACAACAAAACTAAAGTTTGGTACTACTTTAGTTAACTTGAGTGAAGTCACAGAACAAACCCACGCGCTCAACTAACGCGTGAAACAAAGTGACTAGTGATCGTCTCTCTAGCGTTCGTTTATTCAATATCTTTATTTTTCTCAACTCTTTCGGCTCTTTCCTCTCTCTCTCTCTCTCTCAGAACAAAAAAATGTCATCGAAGGACAAGAAACCGGCGAGGCCATCGAGTAGCCGAGCCGGTGGAATCCGCACTCTTTCCGATCTTAATCGAAGGTCTGGTCCGGACTCCGACAGTGATTCCGACAGTCCTCAGGAATACTACACCGGTGGTGAGAAAAGGTAAGTCCTCTAAAACATTCACTCTAATGCTAATAATGATTCAAGTGTTTGGATCTGGTGTTCTGTAATTAGATGATGATGTTTTGTAATGATTTTATATTTGAATCTTGTTGCAGTGGTATGCTTGTTCAAGATCCTTCCAAGAAAGATGATGTTGATGAGATATTCAATCAAGCTAGACAACTAGGAGCTGTGGAAGGGCCTCTTGAGACTCCTTCTTCGAGTTCCACGAGCTTCACTGGAACTGGGAGGTTGCTTTCAGGAGAGAGTGTTTCTACTGGTTCTCAACAGCCTGAGCCTGTGGTTCACACCATTGTTTTCTGGTCTAATGGATTCACTATTGATGATGGTCCTTTGAGGAAGTTGGATGATCCAGAGAATGCGTCTTTTCTCGAGGTAAAACAATGTCATGTGAAACTGTTATCTCTTGTTTGTGTTTTTTATTTGGTTCTGTTGTTTTTTTGTAGAGCATTCGGAAGTCTGAGTGCCCAAAAGAGCTCGAGCCAGCAGATAGAAGAGCCCCTGTTCATGTCAATTTGATGCGGAAGGAAGAGAAATGTCCAGTGAGTCCTCTCTATCCATATTGCATATCTTGTTCTGATCGGCTTTTATATGTTTTGGTTCATCAACAAAATGTTATCTTATGTAAGCTTGGGTCTTTGGGTACCTCTTCGGGTTCAGTCTAGTTCTCATTCTTGTTTTATATATCTTGAGGGGGTTCAGTCTAGTTCTCATTCTAGTTAAATATATGTTCGGGTCAGGTTTAAACATCAACAAAATGTTATCTTATGTAAGCTTTGGGCCTTTGGATACACGTTCGGGTTCAGATCGAGTTTTCGGGTCCAGTCTAGTTCTCATTCTTGTTTATATGTTTGGGTCAGGTTTAAACATCAACAAAATGTTATTCTATGTAATCTTGGGTCTTTAGGTACCCGTTCGGGTCGAGTTTTCGGGTTTAGTCTAGTTCTCATTCTTGTTTTATATATGTTCGGGTCAGGTTCATATAAAAATATTTCAGTTCAGGTAGTTTTATAACTTTCTCCAAGATTTATTTATGATTTGAACTCATTTCAGATTCGGTTAATAATGCTACCAAACACAAAAGTGACTATTTGGAGTAATTATTAGGTTTCAAATACTCATTTTCTATACTAATTCGGATATACGAGGGTTTTCAGGGTTTTTGGGGTAACTGCTACCAAGTAAACCTTACGCCTCAAGTGAACTATCTTGTTTTTGCTTATTTCAGGAACGAGAGAAGCGTAAGGTTTCATTTCAAGGTGTTGGAAGGACTCTGGGTGGTAGCAGCAACGACAGCAGCGGAAGTGGCTCATCAATGGCTCCTGAGACCGCAGCTATCCCCATCCAAACCAACCAAACCGGTTTAGCAGCACCATCTCCAAGTCTTGTAATAGATGAAACTCTTCCGACCACATCGATCCAGATTAGACTAACGGATGGTACCCGGATTGTGGGTAAGTTCAATCTTCATCACACTGTCAACGACATTCGAGGTTTCATCGACTCTTCCCGACCTGGAGCTCCGGTTAATTACCAGCTTCAGACAATGGGATTCCCACCTACGCCTTTGACTGATCTCACTCGGACCATTGAACATGCTGGTCTAGCCAACTCTGTTGTTCTTCAGAAATTCTAGAAACTTCTAGAATGTTTTTCTTTCTTTCTTATGTTTCTATATGTTGTCACCAGAAATATGGTTGGCCTGTCTGTAACTTATACGCAGCATAAATGGGGGCCTTCATATGGGAAGAAATGCTTTGTGGTATAGATATTCTTATTTTAACCGTTTTGTGGTTTTTCCAAAACAGTTATAATCATTTGGTAAGAGTATAATATCAAAATGTCATGTTGGTCAAAATATCAGTAGGTCACAACATTTTGTAGAACTACTAAGCTTATTGAGGATTTGAAATGTAAGTGGCTAAATTGGTAAAAGTTACAACACTTAAAGTTTGTTGAAACTTTGAAATATATGTTTGTGAATCAACAAATGGCTTTAACGTTCTTTACAAAAATGAAATGTTTTCTATACAAGTGTTGGGATCAAAATCGGTATGACGGAATCAATGATCAAAATTTTTCGCAAAAATAAAAATACATTTTATAAAACACAAGAAGTTGTTTTACAAAATTCTAAGAACTTTCCGAACAAAGGAAATCTGCGGAAAATTTAGAAATCGTCGTCTCGGAAGAACGAACGAAACAATCGCCGATTACCAAGTTAAGCAAAAAATCGCAAAAAAACCGCATCCGTCGTAAACCGCGAGCAGGTTCGACTGAACCAAGTTCAACGTACGACGAGCCAAACCAGCCAGTTCAGCTCGTCGTACGGCGAACTGGTCAGTTCCGGACCAGATCGCCGTACGGCGAGCTGGTCGCCTCAAAGCAGCTCGCCGTACGGCGAACTGGTCAGTTCCGGACCAGATCGCCGTACGGCGAGCTGGTCGTCTCAAAGCAGCTCGCCGTACGGCGAGCTGGTCGCCTCAAAGCAGCTCGCCGTACGGCGAGCTGAACCAACCCGGTTCGGCTCGCCATACGTCGAGCTGACCGTCCCGAGCCTCGATCTCCCGCTTCATTGGCGCAAGGCATACGTCCTTCGGTTTGATCATGTTCTAAACCATGGTCGAAACGTCTCTCGTTTCGTTTCGATCCGTCTTACCGTTCAAGTTTTACGATAAAAATCGTAAAATTCTTCTTTTCTCGTAAAGTTCGGGAAGATAGTATAAAACGGTAACGATTAGACGGAACATCGTGCACTATCAAACTATACAATCAACTCGAGAAATCCTATAAAAACGGCAGGTTATCGCAGAAGGAAGATGAATCCCTTCGCGACTTCATGAGCAGGTTAAAACTCGTCATGACTAGGGTTAGCGGGATAAACGACAAAGCCGCCATCGACGCGCTCAGAAAATCGCTCTGGTTTAAGTCGATGTTTCGAAAGTGGATAACTCTCGAGAAACCGCGGATGATCCAGGACGCGCTCCACAAAGCTACCGATTACATAACCATTAAAGAGGAGACTAAAATCCTGTTTGAAAAGCATAAGCCGGCGAAAGCGTCCGTAAAGGACATCGCGTCCGAGCAGAAGCTGAAAAAGAAAAACTCTCGTAACGACAAATTGGTCCATCACGAGGGACATGATCTCCAAGGGGCGCACAACTACGCCATCAATTCCGGATCGGAACAAGGCGAACTACGGGGAACACGTGGTCAAGGAATCCGAATTACGATGAGAATTCCTTCTGCGATCTCCACCAAACACGCGGGCACTCTACCGTGAACTGCAAATTTCTCGACGCCAGACTTGTCGCAAAATTGCTCGCGAGAGAACTCTCTGAGATATCCAGCGTCAAGGACCTCATCCACGATTCAGATCGCCCCCCAAAAAACGACAGGAACTCGCGAGCGGAAACTCCGCCTCAAGGGAACCAGCCAGGCGAGAAACGCGGACGAAGACAAGATGAGAAAGGTAACGACGCTAACCGTCAAAAGATCAATATGATCATCGGCGAATCGCAATACTACAGCGCTACCATCCCATCTATCAAGTCCTACCAACGAAAAGCCGAAACCGGCTTGAGTTAGAACGTACCATCGGATAACACTCCAAAGGGGGTGATCTCTTTCGATGACTCAGAAACCGGCGGAATCGATCAACCACACGCCGGTTCTCTCGTCATTGACTTAGTCATAAGCGACTTATAAGTCGCTCGAATCCTGGTCGATACTGGAAGCACCGTCAACGTAATCTTCCGCAACACGTTGGCGCGCATGGGAATCGATTTATCTGAGATCGAGACGATACCAAAGCCGTTGACCATTTTCTCCGGCGAAATGGCTATAAATCTAGGATCGATCCGACTTCCAGTCGTCGTGAAAGAAGTGAAAAAATCGTCAACTTAGAAGTCGTTGATTCCCTAGCTATCTACAACATGAGCATGGACACGCCTCGAATAAACTCTATGAAGGCGGTTCTGTCGACCACATAGGCATCAAGTTTACGACCCCTATGGGAGTCACGGCAATTTGGGGATGCCAGAGACAATCACGATCTTGCTTTTTAGCTGAACATAAGCTAAGGCAATTGGCGGTCGCAATCGTGAAACCGAAACAGGCGAAGTTCACGCCGCCGCCCGCGGAAAATGACCCAAAATTAGCAACGGTCGAGAAGCAACAAGCTTCCGCACCCATCGCTTCTACCCAACCGGAGGAGACAAACCCGGACCAAGACGCCGATCCAGCAACTAAAGTGATCGAGAAGTCTGCGACAGTCGAGTAAACACACTCGCACCAACAATCAGAACAACGAGATGGCTTGATTTCCGAAAAGAAATACATAGGCAGATCGCCTAAAGACAAGTTCAGCTATCCCCCTTTCTGAAACCGGGGGGGGGGGGAATAGGTGCGTATACGAGTATTCGATCGTATACTCCCAAATTTTAGATATTCGGTTTGTAATCAAAATTTTTGAAACTTTTTAATAAAGAAAAAGTTAGAATATCAGAAAATCTTTCTACAATCGAAAAGCGTAAAAACAAATTCCAAACATCCGAAAATTACTTCCTTAGTAACAACTACTTAATCGTTTCGACGAAAAACTTATACACCAAATATTTCCGAAAAGAACCGGCGAGACGTCGCCTAAAGTCTTAGAAAAAAAAATTCGATTACAAAAGTCCGTCCGCGACTATAAAATCACAAACGCACAGACCCATTGGTACGCATACATCCGACTAAGATAAAATAGCGCGCTATAAAAGAAATCCAAATTTTTGGTCAGCACTTCCGGGGAAACTTAGAAATTGTTCCCGGTGAGATGCTCGGTTCCAACCAGACGAATCGTATAAGTTGAAAACCTATCGCGGATTATGAATCGGTATGGAATCAGGTTAAAATCGCAACAAACAAAACGAAAGCCGACTAGTCATCGCATAACCTCAATCAAAAAGTAAACCTAGGTCTTGCCCTAAACCCATCACACTGGTCTCTATCGTCTCAAGGCATGAATCGAGATACTAAAGGCATGTCTCTTCGCCCACATCTAAACACTCGCGAAAATCGAAACACTCCGAGTAGACGAACCAGACGATCTACACCAAGAGACGACAACTCGTACTCTTCCCTCTACATCTAAAACGAACCGCAGATTTCATACTTATAAAATTTTCTTATTAATATTTTTTGTTCAAATACACGCCGCCCAGCGGCAGGGATTCAAAGCCATTAATGGCCAGTCCCGAAAAAAACATTACAAAAATATCATATCATAGAACAAAGACATCAGACATCAAACCTGGACGCCGAGCTTTGGCCATCACCACCATCAATCCACGGCTGATCAACTTCTCTGCCCGCGTCCGGGATCTCTAGCCCAACTTCAACTGAATCCGGCGACATGACAATTGGGTTCCACTGATCCCACATTTCCGCCTCAGGGTTGAGAAACTCGGCCTTCTTCCTCTCTCGTTTAGCCAAGCGTGCCTTCTGCTTGGCAGACTCCGCCTCATACGAGTAGTCCGCATGCTGAGAGAGATGCAAACCGCCAACTACGCTCCGGCATTCGCGATAATCGCCATTGTCTCTTTGCGCATCCTCAAACTCCGCATAAAGAGGCACGAACCTTTCACGACGAACCATCATCTCCGCAGCAACTTCTCTCTTTCATGCTCTATGGGCATGACAGACTCTCGTGCCAGAGAGCTCAAGAACGCGATGAGAATCAGCCTCATACTCCTACCTCACACGGACAGTCTCCCTTCTAGCTAAATCCAGGGCGCGAGAGAAGTTAGCGTCGATCTCTTCTTTGAGACGAGCGGCCTCCGTCTCCGCCGCCTTTGTCCTAGATTCAGCCTTGCGAACCTCTGCATCGCTTGTGCTCACTTCTTCGCTCATAAATCGAAGACCCTGCAAAATAGCGGAAGTTTTTTGTCAAAAATCCAGTCACACGTAAGACAAATACAAAAATCAGTAAAGAACCGCAGACGTTGGTGAAAAGTCTCGACGCCTTCGTAAACGGCGTATCGGCTGGTATCTCGGACGATGTCTTGGCCGGTTCAAACTCGGATGAGGGAGCCTCGATGAAATCTTCAATATTAAGGTCTTCGTCGAACCATTGGTCTTGACCAATCGGAACATCTCTCTCCTGCGGGAATTTAGATCTCTCCCTCGCTTCCGCATCGTCGTCTGCCTCAATCTCGACACGATCATTCTGAGAAAAACCAGAAGAGTAATAGGCGACGGCACGACGAACTCTCTTTGGAGAAAAGTATCCCCAATAAAGTGGACTGCCACAAAGAAGTTTCATAACCAAATCGAGGTCCTCAAGTAACAGCACAAGAGGGGCAGACACTGCAAAGCGCAAATCGTACACAAAGATTAAAGTGCGGCCAGAAAAAAAATATGTTACGCAATCTAAGTACCTTTTTCGCCCATTTGGTCATGAACGAAGAAATGCAAGTCTCTTCCACCGATTCGCTATCGATCTTAACGTAAAAGAACCAATATTTCCACTCGTGACCATTCGAGGCAAGTCTGTCGATAACCGACATCCCCTTACGAGGAGATAAGTAGAAATTTACCTTGGCCGCCCGCTTGAGAAACACCATAGCCACAAGATAGTCCGCGTTGAGAGACATGCCGCGTTCGTAACCCAGCACCAAAATCCCTACAATGTGCTGTAACGCGAAGGGACAAAGCTGGCTGATCGACAAATTGAACCGATCCAAGAGCCCAACGATGGCTCGCGGAATAGGGAACCATAGTTGGCAGTTAAGTAGAAAGGCTTCATAACACGTGAAGTAGCCCGAGGGCAGACTCGCGGCATCTTGACCCCATTCGGGAAGACAAAATTGCATCGTATCCGGGATTGCGCGAGAATTCCTCAAATCCCTGAGGGAACGAACGGTACTCGCGCTCGGACCTTCCTTGTTCCTCCGAAGCTTATCCCTCTTTGGAACCCAGAAGCTAGATGGGGGAACATCGGCAACACCCAAAGCTGACTAATACTTCGTGGTTTCTTTCTTACTCACGGAAAACCGCAGAAAGACCGGCTTGGGGAGGGCGCAGCCACCAGAAATATCAAGGTCACTTGGATCAAAGATTGATGCGTGAGCACGCTCCGAAGCTTTCCACTCGAAAGACATGTTGAGCAATCAAAAGAGAAAGAGATTCAAAGGGAAAGGAACAGAGAAAACTTCTTGAACCTTAGAAGAGTTATGGAAGAAAGTGAGTAAATAATTTGAAAACTTACTCCATATACTTATAAGAAAAAGTTTTACTATTCACCTTTGGACTTTTGGCCATTAAGTTCTGCCTAATTCTACTAAACTTGCCGAACAAGTTCAAACCGCTCGCAAGAACTCTACGATTCTTACGAGCTGGGGGGCTAACTGTTGGGGTCAAAATCGGTACGACGGAATCAATGACCAAAAATTTCCGCAAAAATAAAAATACATTTTATAAAACACGAGAAGTTGTTTTATAAAATTCTAAGAACTTTCCGAACAAAGGAAATCTGCGAAAAACTTGGAAATCGTCATCTCGGAAGAACGAACTAAACAATCGCCGATTACACGATTGTCCAAGTTAAGCAAAAAACCGCATCAGCCGTAAACCGCGAGCAGGTTCGACCAAACCAAGTTCAACGTACGACGAGCCAAACCAGCCGGTTCAGCTGGCCGTACGGCAAACTGGTCGGTCCCGTACCAGCTCGCCGTACGGCGAGCTGGTCGCCTCAAAGCAGCTCGCTGTACGTCGAGCTGACCGTCCCGAGCCTCGATCTCTCGCATCCTTGACGCAAGGCATACATGGTTCGATCATGCTTTAAACCATGGTCGAAATGTCTCTCGTTTCGTCTCGTTCCGTCTTACCGTTCAAGTTTTACGATAAAAATCGTAAAAGTCTTCTTTTCTCGTAAAGTTCGGGAAGATCGTATAAAACGGCAACGATTAGACGGAACATCGTGCACTGTCAAACTATACGATCAACTCGAGAAATCTTATAAAAACGGCATCGTGTCAGGAAACGATCTCGTCTAAAATCGTAAAATGTTTTTATCGCAAAACGGCTCGGACAGCCCAAAAGCGCGATAAAAGTCCACTTGCGACTTTAAACGAAATCCAGCCCAAAGATACTCGCCGAAAGAATATAAATGTCAAGTTTGAAGATAAATGTCAAGTTTGAAGATAAATAGAAGATTTCTGCAAAAGAAAATGGAAAGATCGAGATAAATGGAAGATTCCCGATAAACTCAAATCTGGGCGAAAGGAAGTACTAAACCGCCTGAAGGAGGGAGTATATAAGCAGAAGGCAAAGGATATAAGCAGAGGACGAGTTTTCAGAGCTTTCACCACCAAACTTAATACTTAGAAATATTTTTGTTTTTGTTATCGAGCTGCGTCTCAACTAGGGTTTTAGTGTTAGATTGCTAGAACTAGGAATATCGCCGACGGCTCTCGCAGCTAAGGCTACTCTTGTTGTACCACGCTTACGCGAATTCAAAATAAGATCTTTCTTGCTCTTAATCTTGCTTTCTTTTACATCTTTTAATCATCCATATCGTGTTCTCGATTGCTTGTGTGCGGTTCCGCAGATAGGCGGGTCTTCTGGGAAATTAGGGTTTAGTCTAAATTCCTAAACTTACGTAAAATCGACAGGGGTGAATTTCGGTTCCCACAAGAAAAACTGTTGTATAATTACTTCATACTTTTATAGATTAGTTCAAATAAAGAGAGTTGAACGAGAAGATTTTTGAGATGTATGGCTTCTTCTGAACTTAAAACTTTCCGAGAGATTGATTAAAATTAAGCTCCTGTTAACCCAGCGAGGTGCGCATCACTAAGGTCATAGTTACTTCAGCGTAATTTTAGGTAAATGGGCTTAACGCTTTATTTTTGTAATTCTTATAAGCAAATAAACGGCGCCGTTTTAGTATCTTGGGCCTTACTTACTAAAGCTGTTGAAGAGTGAATGAAAATTTTGTTGCTAATTTCGGCATCCTTGAACGGCCAGATTTTAAGGTTCTTTCCTGTGATACAAATCTGATGCGATTCGTTTTCCTTTTCTATTTGATAAAAAAAGTTGTCTGATTGGTAACGATGATGAAAATGAAACAGAGATGAGCAAGAAAAACTTGGCGATTCTGTTACGCGCTAGGATGAGGTCTAACAATTCTGCCAAATCTTCCCTTTCTCAGTTTCCTGTAATTCTTCAAACCCTTGTTTCAATTCTTGTTTCTTTGAATTTTATATTGATAAGATATCACGATCCTACCAAATTTCACCCTATATATATATGATCATGGGAAATGAAAAATTTATGTCTTTTTTTTTTACTGAAATTGGAGCTTCAAGAGTTTGTATGCCTATTGAGATTGAATCTAGTGTATCTCAATGTCTTTTTTTCTAAATAGTATGCGTATATAAACATATAATAAAGGTAATGGTTTGTTGATTGATTGTCAGAAAGAGATCCCATCTAATCCTCAAGAGAACCATTCTGGAGATCATCACATAGTGAGAAATTCTAGTGATCTTGATACCAGAGGAAGGTACTTTAAGTAACTACTGATACTATTTGACCTTTGAATAACTCTTTCTTTCTTTTTTTAAATTACTATTTGTAATCTTTTTATTATATTGTTTAGGGTATACGATGTAGTTCGTGAAACAATGCACTCAGCTATCTCTGCTAGTAAAACTGGTGTCTCAGACATTACTCTTAATGACTTTCAAGAGGTAATAAACCTTATCTTTACATTGCTTCTTCCAATGTGTTTTACTTATCATCCTCTGTAATGATTTTCCAGGGATACTCTAGCCTCTCGCTTGAAGACCGTGGGAAACTCCTTCTTGCTTTAGCTAAAGAATATGATGTTAATAGAGAGCAAGTCCGAGAACTCATTAAGCAATATCTTGGACTTGAAACCCCATCAAGTGATGATGCTTTATCTTCTGTTTTCTATCGCATTGAGTGGAATCTGAGACATGCTCTCAAGCCAACGTATGAATCTTTCTTTGAGAGGTTGAATACACACCCAGGAGGGTTGCGGTTTCTCTCCATCCTCCGTGCTGATCTTCTTTCTATTCTCACGTAATTCCTTCTCATCCTCTCGTAATATGACTGAAGCTTAAATTGTTTGGTAAAAATTGAATCTGCCACTTATGGTTATAGGAAAGAAAACACACCCTCTTTGCGAACTTTAGATTCGTATCTAAAGGAGAAACTAGGGATGTGGCTTAGTCCTGCTACTTTAGAGCTTCATCAAATCACTTGGGATGATCCTGCTTCCTTGCTTGAGAAAATTGTCGCTTATGAGGTATGCATCCATTAGTCGTTTCCATTACAATAACCTCATTGTTTTGTTAATCTAACAATGTGTGTGATTCATAAGGCGGTCCATCCAATCAGCAACCTCTTGGATCTTAAAAGAAGACTGGGAATAGGTCGTCGATGCTTTGGTTATTTCCATCCATCTATTCCTGGTTAGTTACTCTCGTACACATGTTTCTTTGATTGTAAGTTGATCACATTCTTTGACTAGTCTTGTGCTGTTGTTTTTATTTAGGTGAACCACTTATTTTCATAGAAGTTGCTCTTATGGAAACCGTTGCTCAGACAATTCAGGTTAATCTAGTCACAATCCTATCTATGCCTGCTTAGTTTAGATTTTGCAGCATGTTGTCTAAATACTTTCTTGCACCATAACAGGAAGTTTTGTGGGACAATCCACCCATACCAGAGAACCAATCAACATGTGCTTTGTTTTACTCAATTTCTTCAACTCAGGTGTGTACATACACTTCCTACATATTTGTTTCTTTTTTTCTATTCACTCATGGTGTATTTATTTGCAGCCTGGCTTAGCGGGGATAAACCTCGGTAAGTTTCTGATCAAACGGGTGATTACATTGGTGAAGAAAGAAATGCCACATGTTTCTGTGAGTACTTTAGACTAATCTGTTTGCAGAGTGTGTAACCGGAGAAAGAGACTGTCAACAGAATGTTATTTTTTTTGTTGCAGACATTTGCAACACTAAGCCCCATTCCTGGATACATGCAATGGCTCCTCTCGAAGTTACAAACTCAGTCAAGATTTGCTGAAGAAGAGCGCGGTGGTACAGAAAGCAATCCAACTTCATCTACTTTCAGCGAGCAAGTGTTATTACCAGAAGAGGAACAAGCCCTCATGAGTCTATCAGAGTAAGCATACATTGATCAAACTCTTCCATGTGTTTTCTTATCAAAGTTGCAATGATACGTGTTTATGCAGTGATTCTTCCTCTGGTAGCAACGGCATGGAAGTTCTGTTGAATTTTCTGACACAAAAGAACTGTGATTGGGCTACTTCACCTCGTGTATTGCCGGTTTTAGAACCTATTCTGATGCGGTTATGTGCTAGGTATGTTCAGTCTTGGAGATGTAATAATGGTCAATATAAGCTCTCTAATGTTTTGTCTTCGGTAGGTACCTCTTGCAGGAGAAGAAAAGAGGAAAAGCTTTAGACTCTGTTGCTAACTTCCACTTGCAAAATGGAGCGGTAAGTTCAGTGAATGTGAAAAGGGTCTACAGAAAGAGAGAGAGAGAGAAAGTGATTGAGATTTGTTAAGCTCTCTTGTTTTTTTTGATATGTTACATAGATGGTTGAAAGAATAAACTGGTTGGCGGATCGGTCAGAGAAAGGTATCCATCAAAGTGGAGGCATTATGGTTAACTATGTCTACAGGTAAAATAAACTTTGTTTTAAAAATTTATTTCATTTTCTGTATGGCCCTAAACTCTTCTTTGATGGACTAATGACACAGGTTAGAGAATATCGAAGACTATGCTCAATCGTATTTTGGGTCGGGTCAAATCCATGCCTCTCCTGGTATCCATTCCCGTCTCTAAGTAAACTCCAGAATGCAAATTAGTTCGCATGTAAGTTGATCATTTTCAAAACCCCAATGATTAACATAAGCACAATGGTATACATGTATTTACAATCGGTTTTAAATGTGTGTATTCTGGAGACTAAGAGCTTTCACATATCGGGATCAGTTTCGACATCGCTAGTCTCTAAAGACTATTCACGCATAAGTTCTGTGTTGAATCCGTTTACATTCTGCATTTTCACAAAACAAGATACTTCTGTTACGTTTACATCAACAATAGTGTGTATATATGAGTGTTAATGTATATTGATTATACGAGTGTTATGGTGAGAAGAGATAAAAGAACCTTGAAGGCTAGATGCTGTAATGGTTTTTACAATAAGCAGACCGTGCCTACACACGCAAATGTCAAAATACATACTGAAGAAATTATTGAGCATCGAAGGCTATGCTCAATCGTATTGATTGTGTATATAATTAAGTTTGTTAATTGTAAAGATTTAGAAGTTTCTGTGTTTGATAGCAAACAATAACAAAATCAGTGACCATATCCAAAATCAACACATTACAAAACAAAAACATAAACAACACACGACGCAACTTTCTCACAAAGTAAGTTCTGTAATTAATGCACACTAACCTTTCTTTAGACAATAGGATGTGGGTTATGGTAAAGTTTGGGGTATAGTCTGATTTGACATTTCAGGAAATAACACTTTCTCATTTAGCTGCTCTTTTTTATTCCGTTATTCTAATTTAGCAATTTAAGTGGATCTTGTGCGGACACGTCACCTTACCCACTTTCACAACGTCGCCTTCATGATCATAATCATATCACATAAATAAAAATAATAATTAATAATCAAACGCAAGTCAGAGTCAAAACATTAGCTTCATCGACATTTTTTATAACCTATCGCAGCGCGTGCGTAAAAGTAAAACAGTTAAAAAGTTGTCCTGATCAGTACTCGTGTGAAAATGCAGATCTTATCTTTCTCTCATCGATTCTGTTGGTGCGTATGATTCACTCTCTTAGCGTGCTACGTGAATCAGAAGTTGCATGTTCAACTAGCCGTTAGGATATTGACAGCGTGGCAACAGTATTATTTACATTTCATACTGCACATAATAAACTCTCTTTGTTCGAAGTTGAATGAGTTTTAGAGAAATAATAAAAATGAAAATGAAAATAATGAAATGAACAAAATGAAACAAATATAATATAGAAAAGCCCGTAACCACTCTTGAAGATAATAAATAATATAATATAATTTTATTTCCCAAATAATTAACCAAAAATTTTGATCGAAAGACAACTCTAATTGTACTACTAAACATGTTTTTGTTTTAAATCCCTTTGATTTAAACCTTTTCTTTTCCTCAAAATGTTAATTTCATTACTAAAGAGTTTAAGTTCAACCTCAATAAAGGATTAAAGATAGAGAAAATCAAGGCACTATAAAAAATCTCATACACACATGAGGTATAAACACCAACGATTAATATACCAATAAGTATTAGCATTAATATAAGACAACTTGTAACTCTCATGTCATGATTCATGATGACGGTCTTCGTAAAGGACTCTTATCTATTAATGGACATAATCCTCATTCCTTATTTATTTACAACCACACGAGATGATATCCGTGCGGAATGAGTTTTTTATATTAACGTTTATTTGATTTTAACATTTTGAAATACGATAATCTTTATCGATTGTAAAATAACGAATATAAATATTGGTCTCTTAAATATATTATATATCTGGATATTTAGGGATTCATCGATTTTGATTTGATTGATTCGAATTTTCAATTTTTTAGTATTATACTTTTCAGATCTATTCCAATTTTATTAATTATCGGATCAGTTTCGGTTCGGTTTCTTCCAGATTGGTTCGGACCGGATTGTAACTAAAATCTGAAATCGTCCAAAAAATATTTTTGAAACCTCAAAATTGACACAAAATTGTCAAAATATTTAAATTATTCGTAAATCTAATTTAAAATTAGTAAAACTATCTAAACTAACTAAATGATATCACTACAAGAAAACTAAGCCAATACTAGGAAAGTTTACTAGGAAAATATTTCCTCGTAAAAATACTACGAGTTTACTTCGAGTTTACGAGGAAACCACTTTTCCTCGTAAAGTTCTCGTAAATTTACGAGGCCCTTACGAGGAAAAAGTTATTTTCCTCGTAAACTCATAGTAAAGCTTTTCCTCGTAAAGTCCTAGTAATTGTTTACTACGAAATTAGGAGGAAAATATTTGTTACTACGAAATTAAGAGGAAATGGATAGAAAATATCGAATATTAATCAAAAACGTGTTTTGTACCTACTTTTCCTAGCAATTTCCTAGTAAATGCTCAGATTCGAAAATTTTTATAAATACCACCATATGTGATTCATTTGAAACACACAAAAAAAAAATCAGCTATAAGCTTGATCAAACAAAAAAAAAATGTCCGGTCCAGGAAGTATTTTCGAGTTGCGGAAGTGGATGTATTCACACAGAGACAATAACGGGAGGGTGACGAAAGAATTTCTCGAAGGGTTAGAGACGTTTATGCATCAAGCAGATTCTACACCACTCACGCAGGAAAGTGGTAAGATGTTATGTCCTTGTCGGAAATGTTGCAATACCAAATTAGGCCCTCGTGAAAATGTTTGGAAGCATTTAGTAAATAGAGGTTTCATGCCATATTATTATATTTGGTATCAACATGGAGAAGATGCTAGTTGTAGGAATGAAGGTAGCAGTAGTAATAGCAATTTTCAGATTGAACCGGTTGAGCATTTGCGTAATGACGGTAGCAGTAGTAATAGCTATCATCACCAAGAGGAACAAATGGTAGATTGTGATAGGGTTCATGATATGGTAGGTGATGCCTTTGTAACTCATGATGATGATGAAGTTGAAGAACCTAACTTAGATGCCAAAAAGTTTTATGAAATGTTAGATGCTGCGAATGAGCCAATTTACAGTGGTTGTAGAGAAGGTCTGTCTANCAGTAGTAATAGCTATCATCACCAAGAGGAACAAATGGTAGATTGTGATAGGGTTCATGATATGGTAGGTGATGCCTTTGTAACTCATGATGATGATGAAGTTGAAGAACCTAACTTAGATGCCAAAAAGTTTTATGAAATGTTAGATGCTGCGAATGAGCCAATTTACAGTGGTTGTAGAGAAGGTCTGTCTAAATTGCCGCTAGCTGCTAGAATGATGAGTATTAAAACCGATCACAATCTACGTGAAAAATGTATGGATGCATGGGCAGACTTGTTTAAAGAGTATTTGCCAGAAGACAATGTGTCTGCTGAATCTTATTATCAAATTCAGAAATTGGTATATAGTCTAGGGTTGCCCTCGGAGATGATAGACGTTTGCATCGACAACTGCATGATTTACTAAGGAGATGATGAGAAGTTAGAAGAATGTCGATTTTGTAAGAAGCCACGATTCAAACCGCAAGGTCGAGGGCGTAATAGTGTACCGTACCAAAGGATGTGGTACCTACCAATCACAGACAGATTGAAAATATTTTACCAATCTGAGGAGACTGCTGGAGGGATGAGATGGCACGCCGAACATACTCAGACGGATGGAGAGATGACTCATCCATCAGATGCAAGAGCCTGGAAACATTTTATCAATGTACATCCACATTTCGCTAGCAATAGCCGGAATGTGTATCTTGGATTATGCACTGATGGATTTAGTCCATTTGGAATGTCTGGGAGACAATATTCATTGTGGCCGGTCTTTCTTACACCGTATAACTTGCCACCGTAGATGTGCATGCGACGAGAGTTTCTATTCATGAGCATATTAATACCTGGTCCAAAACATCCAAAAAGATCTCTCGATGTTTTTCTACAACCACTGATAAAAGAGTTGCAAGATTTGTGGTCAACAGGTGTGAGGACATATGATTGTTCAACGAAAACAAACTTTACGATGCGAACGATGATTTTGTGGACCATAAGTGACTTTCCTGCATATGGTATGTTGTCTGGGTGGACTACACATGGGAGATTAGCTTGTCCGTATTGTAATGGAATGACAGATGCGTTTCAGTTGAAGCATGGTAGGAAGACTAGTTGGTTCGATTGTCACCGTCGATTTCTTCCCATTCACCACCCATACCGAAGAAACAAGAAATTGTTCAG